TATTTTTGGAATGTTCAAACCACAATTAGTATTACCAAACAGTTTTCAAACGTAACATGTTTATAATCGAATCGAGCGCCTCAACGAGGCAAATCCAACGAGCCCAAGATCACTATGTATAGAAAAAAAAATTTAAATATGGAAAGTCATCCATCAAACAAGCGACTTATGATGACTCATACTTGCTAATCAGTGTCTTGTCAGTCTCCGAATTAACGGACAACTTATTTTAAAAAAATTACTATTGTAACTTGCTCGTTAAACGGGACACTTGCTATAGTAAATTCTGAAAAATAATTTAAAAATAAAATAGTTAGAAAAATATATGAAAAAATATTTTAAAAAATAATTTTAAATAAAAATATACAAAAACAAAAAGTTTAGAGTTTGCGTAAAATATAATTTCTATATTTTAATAACAGTCAACCATTTAAATATATATTTCTAAACAAAAAAGATAGAGATATAATATTTACTTTGGAAGCTTGTGTTTTAGGAGAAACTTTGAAACGTTGTTTTTTTCTTTCGCTTTAATTACATCCATTGAAAAAAATTACTGATTAAAATTTTAATAATATCAAAATTAAAAAAAAATGTTCATATATATATATATTTATAAACTATTGAATTCTATTAAAATATAGAAATTATAGTTTACATTGACTTTATATTTTTTGTTTTTGTCACTATTTTTATTTTTAATTATTTTTCAAATACATTTATTTAATATTTTCTACTTATTTTATTTTAATTTTTTTAATATTTACTGTAGCAAGTCGTCCATTTAACGGGCAACTTACAATAGTAATTTTTTAAACAAAAATTAAGGCATTCTTAATTTGGGACTGACACATGACTCAGCAAGTCTTAATCAGCATAAGTCGCATGCTTGATGGATGACTTTATCTACTTTTAAATTTATTTTTTTAATATTGAATTACATTATTAAAATTATAATAATACCTAGTTTAAAAATTTTCCCCTCTAGTAGAGCTATAATAATATCAAAATTAACAAAAATATCCTTACAACCAAAATTTTATCCGGGGGCGCTGCCCCTTGACCCCTTGACTTGACCGGCCAGGTCGAACCCCATTAGGGGGCGCTACCCCCTTGGACCCCCGACACATTTTAGAGGTGTTACCTATTTTTGTTTAAGAATAATTGTCATTGATATTGATGATATTTTTAAAATGTATTATGTATTCAAGTACAAATAATCATAAGTCACTAAAATGATATATATGAAAAAAAATCTCTATACTTTTACTTATAAGTCCCCCCCCCCCTGAAAATTAAGGCAGGTTCTGTCCCTAGCCCTGTACACGAGCACCATTGGCCCCAGCAATTTTTATAGATATATAAAGGCAAAATTATAAAAATCCAGAGGTTATTATTGGGGACTTCAATTTCTGTCATTTTGCCACTGAAAGATCCACAGGTTCTGCTCTTCATCATTTTGCTGGTAGATATTAATAGTATGATATTTACTAATAGCCTGGTGGATTTACATTCGGTTGGTTGCTACTACACTTGGTTTAATCAACGCACTAAGAATCCTATTTTTATTAAATTAGACAGGGCTCTTATTAGTGAGGGGTGGATGAAGAAGTTTCATAGTGCTTACTGCTCTTTTCAAAGTCCGTCCTGTTCGGATCATTCTCCTATTTTATTGCATCCGGGTGTTACTTTTCACTCTCACCATAGATTTCTTTTTAAGAATTTCTGGACTAAACATGATAGATATTGGGCTCATCTTTTAAAGGCATTCTCCATGCCTTTTATTGGTAACCCTCTGTCCCATTTTTGTAATGTTCTCAGGCAATGAAAAGGTGACATTAAAAATGAACTATGGGCTAACTCTCAGACTATCAATATGCAACTGGATTCTTTTCATGCCAAGTAATCGGATCTTTTAGAACTTATCCAGATTACTCCCACGGATTCTTCTCTTTGTGCCTCCCTTAAAGACACCAATCTTAAAATTTCTGAAGTGTCTTCCACGCTTGCTAGTTGGATTATACAAAGGATAAATGTTAATTGGCTCAATCATGATGAGGATGACCTTAAATTTCTATATACAAAAATCAAGAGTAGAATGGATAGCACTAAATATGTTGTCAACCTATTTGCTTGCAATCCTAACATTGCTAGGGAGGAGGTGCTCCACTCCATTCTTATGTATTTTTAGGGTCTGTATAACCCTCTTCCTCCTATATGCATGAATATGAATATTTTTCCAATTGGTGTTTCTCTCCCTGAAAGCTATGCTAACATGCTTATTTCTCCTATTTTGGATGATGAAATTAGAGCAACTATTTTTAAGGGATCTTCTAAATCTACTCCTGGACCTGATAGTTTTAATTATCACTTTTATAAATCTAGATGGCACATTATTAGCCCCTCTGTTTGCAAAGCCATCAGATCTTTTTTCCTCAAAGGGTATATTCCTAGTGGGGTAAAAGCCACTGCTCTTGCTATTATTCCTAAGCACCGTAATGCTACTTCCATCACAGATTATAGACCTATGTCCTTGTGTGCAACACTTTGTACAAAATCATTGCTAAGGTCATTGCTGGTAGGCTTAATCCAATTATGCCTCTTATTGTTAAAGACACTCAAACTGGTTTTGCGAAGTATAGAGTTTCTATGGATAGCATTTTGCTTGCTAATGATATTCTCTCTTTGGTCAATAAAAGAGGTGGTGGAAACATGTTTTGTGCCAAAATTGACATTAAAAAAGCCTTCGACTCAGTTTCTAAGGAGTTCTTGTTAGCTCGTATGTTACAAAAAAAGCTTCCCTAGGCCTTTTATCAGTTGGATTAAGGCATGTATATCTAACGTGAACTTCTCTATTGTCATTGATGGTGCTTTGGAGGGCTTTTTCCCGTCTTCGGCAGGTCTTAGGCAAGGGTGCCCGCTTAGTCCATACCTATTTTTCTTGGTTATGGATGCATTTTCTAATCTCCTTGACGAGAGAGGTTTCAAAGGTTTTAAAGCTGATAACTATCACCTTTCTCACCTTTTGTATGCGGATGATGTGTTAATGTTTGGAGAAGCTTCTTTAGAGAATTGTAGAATTCTTTCTACAATTCTCAATGACTTTGCTAATGCCTCTGGTCTTCACATTAATTTTGATAAATGCTCCGTCATGTTCTCTAAGAATCAAAGAAATTCAGAAATACTGTGTCAAGCTCTATCCATATTTAACATTAGCTCAAAGATCTCTTATCTTGGCATACCAATTTCTTTTAATAGGTTGAAAGTTGAAGACTTCCTGCCTCTGATGGACAGCTTGCATAAAAAATTTATTGGTTGGAGGGCTAACCTTTTGTCCTTTGGTGGTAGATTGCAATACTTGAAGTTTACCATTCAAAACACTATTGCCTATTGGATAAAGGGTTCTATCTTGCCTAAAAATCTTTATAAGTTTTTTTAAAAAACTTGTTCTAGATTCTTGTTTTTTGGGGACATTGCTTGCAATAACAATCTTCATATGGTATCGTGGGATAAAGTTTGCAAGCCAAAACTGAAAGGTGGATTGGGTATTCCCTTTATTAGTTCTCTTTAGTTTGCCTTTAATTGCTTTGTGATTTACAGAATGTATAACTGCCCCTCTCCATTATCTACTTGGTTGTCTGGACACTACTCTTCACCGTGGAGGCCCCCTCACCCCAAAGCCAGTAAGTTCTGGGTTTCTATTTGTAACATTGCTGCACTTGTGAAGTCCAAATTTAAATTTATTATTACACCTACTGCTCCTATTTCCTTGCATTGGGATCATTGGTGTAATAATGCTACACTTTCTGAACATGTGGATGGTGCTTCTCTTGATCAATTCTCTCTTCCTCTGCTGAGAAATTATATATCATCCCTGCATTGGGTTTTTTCTGATTATGTTCCTCTGCATTTGAGACCCGCTATTAGTAGTTTTCCGATTTATGATTATGCTAGGCCCTATTTGATTTGGAATAATTGTGACAAGGTTAACTTTAGGAATTTTATTGAGGAATACTATAAATTACTGTCGTCTTGCCCTTGGTACAAGCTAGTATGGCACACAAAGCATATTTTAAAACATTATGTTTATGTTTGGCTTGCTCTAGTCGGTGGATTAAAAACTCAAGATGCATTGAGAATTAGGAATATTCATGAGCCGGTTTCTTGCTCCTTATGCCACTCGGTTTTTGAATCTGTTAACCACCTCTTTTTTGAATGTTCTTTTTCATTCTCTATACTAAATACCCTTATCCCTGAGACTAAAAGTTTTCTGCTAAGGCCCACTGTATTGCAACTGTTACAATGGCTGTAAACTGATTTCTCAGGTGCTCTCATGACTAAGAACTACTATATGCTGACGGTTTGTTGCATAATTTATCAACCATGGAGAGAAAGGAATAGTAGGAGATATGGAAATGATATTCATAGTTCATCTTCTTTGCTGTTAAATATCAAAAGAGTGGTTATTGGGAAAGTTTCAAGGTGGAAAAATTTGGACAATTTGCTGGGAAATATCTGATATGGCTGGCTTCTCCTCCCATCATTTTTGCTGCTCGTATGCTGGGAATGGGGTTTTTACCAGGACAATGATGAAGCTCCGTTAGTTGATCTCTGACTATATTCCCCACGGACGGTCTTCGGACAACCAGGGATTTTTTGTCTACTTATTATTTTATCTATTCCAAGTCCTGGTTAATTTATTTCGGAGCATTTTTTGGAACTCTGGTTGAGTTCTCTTAGTTGTTTTTTGTCCCTGCTGTTTTTATTCTGCTCTTAGGAGCTTTTACTTGCTTTTTGGCTGGGTATTTTGTTTTATTACATATTCTGTAACATTTCAATATCAATATATGGGCCTTCTGTAACATTGCAATATAAATAAATGGGCCAAGCTAAAATTTTCCAAAAAAAAAAAAAAACAATAAAAAAATAATAAATGAAAATATTCTTAATAATAGAATTTATAAAATAATAATATTTACTACAATGTAACATAGATCTGATACTGTGCAAAGATCATCTTTACTAAAAACCAAAAGCTCATCAGACCGACAAGATCGAAAGCAAATCTTCCCTTTTCAATTCCCATTAATTACCTTCACATGGAATCACATCAACGTACACCAAACCTTCAGCAATTCAAAAATAAAAAACCCATAAAATACATTCAGCCACTTGCCTTATAAAAAAAAAAAAACACCAGAAGACTCACAGTACATTTGTCGCTTCAATAATAAACTAAACAGCCCTCATCACCTTTTCCAGGAGGACGACGGCATCAGATTCGCCAAGCTTACTGTTAATCTTCTTGCGAAGCTCCGAATCGTCGAGCTCCTCCACGTCAATGGGTTCATACTCCAACTCCTTCTCATACCTCCTGCTCAAATAGAGGTAAAAGAGGAATGAGAAGATGACGGAGGCGGAGACAACCCAGCTGAATTCGTTGTTGGCCAGAGACTTTGCGCGGTGGAGGGCCTCGTCGCTTCGGCAGCGGACGGAGGAATGGACGTTCTCGTCATGCAAGAAGCAGCCCTTAGGGATGAACGCCGGCGTCCAAAGAGCGTAGCCCAGGAAGATGTTCCAGATCCCCTGCTTAATGACACCACATAATTAGCTACTCAAAGGAAACAGCAATATTGCTTTATTTATCACCATAAATTAGTCAGAAAATATTATAATTATATGATATATTAAAGCAATTTTGTTGGTTGCCGGACGAATCCGGACTCGCAATTTTGAATAATTTTCCCCCAAAAGATGCCTTAATAATTTTGTTGACAATCGTACCTGCAAGGCAATGCTGGCGGAACGAACGAACGCGATTGCAAAATTGCAGGGGTGGCTAATGCCCAACAAAGACGTGGCGAAGGAGACGGCAATGACGATCCGAAGAAGCCAATGGTACTGTCCCTCCAGCCCCGTATGATCAGTCGAATGGATGTAAAAAAGTAAAAATTCTTGTCCAAAGGCCACCGTGGAGGCCACAAAAGTGAGCGGCCGGGCGGCGGCGGGGCGGGCGGCGCGATCTAAAGCTATGGCGAAGACAGCGTAGATGACGAAAGAAAGGGTGATGGAAGAGTGCTCGAAGTTGTGCAGGTGGTTGGAAGGGATGGTGAAGTCGACGTCCAGAGGTTGGTGGCGCGAGGGGCCAACGAAGAGTTCCGTGACGAGGTAAGTGCAGCCTCCCATGGCGATGAGGACGAGCTCGAGGTAGCGGATCTTCGGGAATGGGAACCATGAGTGAGAACGAAAGGTGTTGGGGTGGCAAGAGAAGAGCTTGATATTGTTGTAGAGGTGCCATAGCCCAATGACGAGGAAGCCAAATCCGGGAGCTACGTGACCTATTTTAGTTCCCATATTAGACTTAGAGATGGAGAAAGAGAGCTTGAGATGAGGATTTATGAAGAGGGAGAGTGAAAAAAGTATAATATTTATATTATCTATAAGATGAGAGAATAAGCATCAGCCAATGGAATATGAGAATGAGAATCAAAGTAAAGAAGATGATGAGTCTCGTCTTCATAAAAAAAAAAAATTAAAATAAACTTTAGGGAGTATGGACCTGTAATAATAATTAAATGTTGACAGGTATAAATAGACGCTTTTTGGATATAAAAATGGATTGATTGTAGACTTAGCCATCGTATCACTCTCATGAATTTGGAGGTATGTGTTGAAGTGTTGAGGTGGAGCCAGAAGATAACTTTTCTCTATGATTAAGGAACCCGAAGCTGATAATTTTAATCTAAGAGAAAAAATTTGATTAATGAATTATTTGCTTTCATCTACGTGCAGCTCAATTTTGTCTGTTGGTTGAAAGTTTTGACTAATCTATCATATAGATTCTTATTAAGACCTAATTGATATGTACTGATGCAATTGAATTGCATAAATGACTCTATTAGTTACTGTTCGATAAAACAACTCTTCTTGAATATGTTGAATACTCATCAAGAGTTGATATATCATAAAAAAATTTATCTTGATTGGGCAAGAATCTCGAGGTAAAATTAAGTTGAAAACTTCCAAAATTAAATTTATGATCATCCGAACTCTGATTTCTGCAAACTTATAGTCGAGTTGAATGTCACAAAAAGACGAACCCAACGACACCAAATTCGATCCAATCCAAGCCCAAATGGATCCATATGGAAACCCGAAGCACATTTGGAAGGTTCAAATCATAAATTGGATGACCAAAACGATTTTCTAACATGTCATGCTTATAGTCGAATAGAGTGGCTTGACGAGAAGAATCCAACGAGCCTAAGATCACCGAATTTTTGCATCATTAAGGAACCCAAAAACTTAATACAGTCTATAATCAGAGGAGTCGATATCGACCGTCCATTCAGAGCACTCCCAACATGCCCTTAATCTCATCCCTATTTACTGGTCATACCACTCCCAAAAAGCTATAAATAGACCCCTCATTATTCATTGATGGAAGAGGAAGCGTTGTAGTAAGGCTTAGAATGCAAACTCAAGATAAGAGTGCGAAATTCGAAAGGAGTTTATAGCTTCGATCCAAATGAGTTTGAGTATGTCAAAGGGTTGACACTTGGTTGTTCAAACAAGAAGAAATTTCACACTTGGTTGAGAGGGAACTCAATAAGGCATGAGAGGGAACATAAGCTAAAACTCTATTATTTTTTAGCTATAGGCAAGGCATATAATACAACTACATTGAGAATTGACACTATACCAACACCTCTATGATATTAAAATAATGGTTAGGTGCCATTGAGAAAGCATGCCAAGATAACAACTTTGTGTGCAGTTATTATGAGAAGAAGCTTATTGAAGGGACTAGGGAGAGCTTGGCTTCCCAAAATTAGTTGAGCTTACAACTCTAGTGTGCCAAGGTGAAAGCTCTAGTGTGTTAAGTTGTCGAGAAGAATGAAGATGTTACTTTAACTGGAAGAGGTCATTCAATCAATAATTTCGAGATGTAAAATTGTCAATAAGGCAATTTCATGGGACTAGATTTATAAAAGATTTTATTAAAATAGCATATGAAGCTACCAATATATATGAAGGAAAACTTGACACCTCTAGGATGCTTAACAATTAACAAGGCCTTGACCAAAAGGAATTAGGTTGACATCTCTAGCATGTTGAGCTATTGGCAAGGATCTTAATGTAAAGAGACCTGAAATGGATGATCTTAGGATATTGAGTACATAGTAGTAGGTTGATTAATCCTAGTTTGTTTGACAAAATATCTCATTAAAGTAATTAAATGGAAATTATGGTGATGGTTTAAGTCAAATCTAACTCGGCTATGGATGGATGATGATAACTCTTATGCGTGTCAAATAAACTAACATTGCAAGTGAATGAAGTTTGTATTTGTTAAGATATCATGATACATTTTGTACTAAGATGAGATCATGGCTTTGTTTGGATTAGGGGCATAAACGAGACGATTCGAGCTTGAGTCAGGGGGTGTTCGAGCTCTACTTGCGAGTCAAACACCGAACTCGAACTCAAATCGAGCTCAAGCTCCACTCACGACATATAAATGAGCTCGTAGAGCCTCTCGTCGAGTCGCTCGATTTTAATTTTTTCTGCCGGCATTCGCAATTTCCCGCCCTCGGCTAGCAGGACAGTGCATTGCAAACGCCGAGCGGTCTGTACACTGCAGACTCCCGAGCGGTCCATTGATTTTCCCCTTTGATAAAAGGTGCCCACATGTTGGAGACCACCGGTCCAAGTACAGCAGCATTGTAGACACCGTTTTTTGGTTTTCTCTTGTACAAAGCATTTAATAAATTGAGATTTGATAGCAACTTTTCTTGCAAACATATCACTATAAAATATGTTTTTGGAAACTTAGAGCTGTAGTTTAACTTTTCTTGCAAACTTATAACATCTTTTCTTGCAAACATATCCCAATAAAATAGCAATTACGTAATTTAAAAAAAGCTAAAAAATATTCGAGACGACTCGCGAGCTCACGAGTCGAGACACATCAAGCTCGAACTCGAGCTCGACTCGTGATCTCAATAAATTTGGCTTGCGAGCCTGTAAGCGAGTCGAGCTCGAGCCTGCTGGCTCACTTACACCCCTAGTTTGGATCAACTTTTTTTATTGCTTTCTAAAATAACTTTTTAATACAAAAATTTTTAGTTTCAAAAAATTTGTGTATTAAAAAACATCTTTAAAAAGCATGATGAAAATTGTCCCAAGAAGCCTACGTTTACTATAAGCATTTTGAATTTCACACATCAAATGTTATCTCTCTGAATAATTAAAATAAATTATTAAATAATTACAACTAAATTATTATACAATTACACTTAATTTTTTTTGCGGGCTCGGGCAGGCAACTCTGGGTAGGCGGGCAACACGTCGTTGGGCGGGCAGCAGGGCAGGAAACAGTCCGGCGGGCAGCTGCATCCAGATCAGCTCTTTAATTAAATTTGTTTTTTTTTGTTATTCCGGCGGTTTGTTTTCGCCGGACAGTCGTCGAAAATAGTTTCCGGCGATCAAATTCCACAGGAAAAATTTTTCGGCGTATTTGACGGAATTTTTTTTGCGACGCGAGTTTTATCCTCGAAAAGATTTCCGTCGGAAAAATGCCGGAAACTTTCAAAATCCGCCGGAAAATGTATTTTATCTGCCGGTAATATGCGATATTCTTGTAGTGAGTCAACTAAAATTAAATTATTATTTAATTTTTTAAATAATTTCAATTATATTATTAAAAACGTATCAATCAAATTTAAAGGAGAATATTCTTCTGTAATGTTTTTGCATTGGCCACTGGCCTCCACCAACTCTCAACTTACAAAATGAAACCTTTTTGCCTCCTACCACTACATAAAATATTAATAGTAGATGGATAAATACGAAGTCAAATACACAGAAGAAAGACGATATAAGTTCAGTTGCATCAAATTTTATTCACAATTTTTTATTTGTTTTACTTAAAGAAAATCGTACAACGACAATAATAATAAGAAGTCTTTATTTTACTATTTTACTATGTAGGGTTGATTAAATGAATTCATGTTTTTTATTGTATTATATTAAGAATTGTTGTGGCTGGGTTAGAATATTCGTGAAGATGAAGTAAGGAAAAATTATGTTGTTTAGTGTTGCATGAATATTCAGCTCACATACAGGAAAAAAAAAAAAATCAAAATTTTTAATGTGGAAACTATGAAGGGAAAAATCATGGGGTCATGCTCAATCAAAATTGATTCACTAGTATTTGAATAAATTAAAAATAATTGGTTTGTCCTCAAACTTGAGGGCTTTCATATTACAATGGTCAACCAACATGCTGAAATCTAGGGACGAATAGAAATCGGATGAAAATCCGACGATGGTCGGTGGTCAAATATAAATCCGACAGCAGTTGGCAGTCGAGTTGAAATCAGGCGGCAGTCGGTGGCCTGATAGAAATCCGACGTCAGTTTGCGGCCGAGTTGAAGTCCGGCGGCAGTCAGTGGCCGGGCAAAAATCCGGAGTCAACTATCACTAGAATAATATTTTAGCCTGCATTAAGAGTTAAATTCTTATTTAAATCTAATTAAAAATAATTTTAAAACTTTTTGGTTTAAAAATGTGTTAGAGCATAATAAAAAAAAGCGCTCTGCTAGGGTTTCAGCTTGTGCGATGTGTCTGCTCGGCTAGGGTGTCATTTTCCCCCGTCGGTGGGGGGTTTGCCGCTCCTCTGTTCTCTCGGATCAGGAAAGGTTATTCTTTCTTTTGTTCTTGTAGGCTTTTAGCGTGGTTTTTCTTTCGTTTTTTTTTCCCGGTCGTGCCGGCATGGCTCCGATTAAACTGAAGGATCCCAATTTTTTAGGGGGAATCTCTCATTCTAAGTCTTTTCTTGAAGCTCTTGCTGGATCTACTTCCTCTTTTCCGGATTTGAGGCCTTCTACCTTTCGTGGCTTACCGTCCCTTTGGGTTTCCGATGAGGAAATCAGAGAACAGGCTGCTCCTTTTCGTTTTTCGTTAGTAGGTTTTTTTCCGTCAAAACGTCCACCTCTCGACGCCATTCACAATTTTTTTTTTTAACTTGAAGCTGAACGGAGAAGTATCTGTTACGGTTCTGGATTCTACTCACATTCTGATCAAATTGTCCAATGATTTAGACTATTGTCGGATTTTTTGTCACCGTTCTTATTTTGTTTTCA